GTTATCTCTACGATGCGGATGCGCGGATGCTCATCTTTCTTGGTCTCTGTTTTGCAAATGCGGAGGATCTGACACTTGTTTAAATTATATGAGAATGGACAGACAATCTGGGAGATGATGCAGAGGAGGAAACTTGTGACAATGATGATGATAATGATGACACTGTGGCGGATTTAGCTCATTAGTATGTTAATTAATAGTTGTTGTTAGGGGAAAGGTTTAATAATAGGTAGTTTGACCCTCGCTTTATTCTGAAGCCAATAATGTGGCGGTAGAAGAGGTAGTTTAGCTATGAGTAAAGATATTATCTGTGTTATTATAGGCAGAAGTTGCTGAGTATAATCAATAGTATTCTGTAAATAATCAACTGTGTCATATATACTACCATGTTTACGAATGATAGCAGTTATTGTTGATTATACTGCATTATTCATTATTCATAATGGTTCTCCGAATCTGACTCAAAATAAATGTATGCTTTATGACTCACGAATAACACGATTATAAACAAATCACGGAACGGATGGGGTTTGAACCTTGGACTAGTGAATGGTAAAACTCCAGGCCAGTGCGTAAGCCACTCGGCCAGCTGGCTACAATAAGATTCATCCAACTAGGTATATGTGTATATATTAAATGAAGGTTAGCATGGGCCCCATTATGACCTAGTTGGAAGAATCTTATTGTAGTCAGCTGGCTGAGTGGCATACGCACTGGCTTTGATTTTTACGACTCGCTCGCCATGGGTTCAAACCTTACCCGCTGCGTGGTTTGTATGCTTTATGAAATTATAAATGCTGCCTGATTCACTTTTCTTTCCCTGGTTAATGTAAAGGACGCTGGGAAGGTGAGTGTGTCTCAGTGCCTTTAATCACTGCTTTATGGCAATGATGGCGCCCATCTTGCAGATGCTTATTTTGCAAGGTGTCTTTACTTCAGAGTGAGTAACGGCAAATGTGGTTCTTTCTTTTGGCTACTCTACCTTTGCGGGAAACGACTTATGCATTAATAAAAATTGGTTAAGGAGAAGACCCACTTCCACAGTAAAACTAAAACTGCCACTCTCTGGCATGGTAACATGATGGCTAAGGGAAAACCGATGATCTCTATCAGATCACTGCAATCAGGAAATCCCCATAAACACCAGCAACAGGAGATATCTGTACACCGTCAGAAATCCAGGTGGTAGATAAGTATATCTCATTCTTGAACAAGCGATAGTTATCTCCCAGAAAAGGGATACGAAGGTACTTTACTGAGGGAAATTTCCGAGTTGCTGATGTAGCACTTCACCCGTGTGGGTCAGTTAGCACAAGAAGTGATGAAGACTCTTACTACGGATTGCTGACTAACCAGTAAAGCTGTTGTTCATCACTGGTATTATAGGGCCTTAGCAGAACCCCAGCAGTGCTGGAAAGACCCAAAGGCTAAAAACAAATATTTCCAGAAGAAAATCGTGAAATGAAAGCGAGCGACCTATTAGGACTCTGTGGGATGAATCACATATAGTCACTTCTTTCAAAATCAAATCAAATAAAAAATTATTTCTTTTTATAGTAAATAAGCTGTACTTTGCATGTAATAAAAAATTGCTAAGCACAAAGAAAGTCACTAGCATGCATGAGCATTTCAACCAGCTTATTACCAGACACACGAGCATGTGTTGGTTTTCTCCCCCCCCCCCAAAAAAAAAAAAAATCAGCTTACAGGTGACGTCGTGTAACTAAAATAAACTGCTTTAAACTCTCCAGAAAATAAGGATACAAGATGTTAAATAATTCAAAGTTAAAAGAGCTCTACTAGGATTGTTTAAAATAGTTAAACGTAAATCCTCCGCACCAAAAATCTTAGAAAGATGGAAAGAGGGTAGAAAGTTTTGCTATACTGACATTATACTATTTTAAGAAGCTAGCCAGTGATTCAACACATTCTTAACAGAGTCCTTTTGAAGAGAGAACTGTGCTAAAAAATCTGACAAAGTACAACTTTACTCAACTAACTGGGATTCGTGAAAAGGAAAGTTTCTTTAACCGGCCATAATCCCGAAAACCCAAAAGCGTTTAAAAAAAGAATAACTACCATTGAAATTATAATGGGCGAATTTCAGCAAACATTATCTCTCAGCCTACAGCAGGATTCGAACCTGCACATTCTGTATCAAACTACACAGTATTTTCCCAACTCAGCCAGATCCCAGATCTGGCCGGGTATCAATCTGGCTGAGTGGCAAAAGTACTATGTATTTTGATGCAGAGCGTGCAGGTTCGAATCTTGTAAACATCTTGTAATCGGAGAAGAATTTAACTGTTAGTATTCCACACTGAGGGCCAATTCTTTCAACAGATGCAAGGAAAATTTCCGTGACGGCTTGAGCAAGCGGAACTGAGCATCTTACGTAACCGTCTGGTCAAGATGAGCCTAACAGTGTGGTTTTCCTCAGCTCGAGAAAATTGCGAATGTGCGCACCAACCATGTCCGGATGGAGGTCATGGAATAAAAACTAGAAATCATGCTGGCCAGTCGACCGAGATGCGCACTCCAAGGACACACCAGCTAGCGTTCCTCCAATGATAAGTGTGAAGCTGCCGAGAGTCGACGAACAGTCCAAGGACACCCCAGTTAACCTTCCTTCAAAGACATCTGTGAAACTATTGAAATTATTAAACAAGTCGTTCACACGCAGAGTGCTGACTATACCAGCTGTGAAAACACGAAGAATTATCTTAACTGAAAGAGGAAACTTATGCACAGTTCAGGACATAACTGTCTTTTATATATTATGACGGTATCACCATATTAGATACGGTCAGTTCTATTAACATCATTGACTAAGGCCTTACAAACGATTGCCCGTAGTATTCAATCCTGGCAGAGAGAGAGAGAGAGAGAGAGAGAGAGAGAGAGAGAGAGAGAGAGAGAGAGAGAGAGAGAGAGAGAGAGAGAGAGAGAAGAAGAAGAAATGCCAGCTGCTCTAAGCTACATCAGTCACCAGTAAGAGCTATATCAGCTTGGGGAAATACATGGCAAGTAAGATTTGCACCTGAGAAAACAAAAATGATGAAGGTCTCTAGGCACCATAATGGTAATGCCGGTAGAGTAATAAGGATGAATGGGAGGGTGTTGGCACTTGGGAAAGAAGTTGATATCCTTGGGGTGAAATTTGACTACAAACTGACCATGAACAAGCACGTTGTAAATCTTTCAAACAAGGCAGCCAGGAAGCTTACAGCACTTTGCATTACTTCGCATTTGCTTGACAGTAGGGGTCGCAAGATTCTATACGAGGCACAAGTACTCTCACACCTTGAGTGTGCTCCATTTTCTTGGTATGCCTGCCCTCCCCCTCTCACCTGCGACTGCTTGACAGAGTAGAGAACAGAGCAAGACGTCTTATCTCTCGCCTAGACCAATCCTGGATAGATCTGTCTTTTCAGCAGAGCCTTCAACACATGAGGGATGTGGGTGGCCTTACTGTTATGTACAAGGCCAATATTGTCAAAGTACCACACTTGAATCCACTTCGAGGACAGCGTGAAGCAAGCTTCTATTCCACAAGACGGGCAGAAAGCAGCAACTTCACTCAGGCTGTACCCTTCTCCAGAACATCACTTCATCTAAGATCATTTTTCCCCAGGATGATTCAAGTATGGAACACATTCGAACAGCATTATGATGTCAGCGATATAAAGTCAGTGGACCAAATGAAAATGCTGGCCCACAGATGACTCCAACTTCATCCTGTTCCCTACTTGTATGTCTCATAACAATAAAAATGCTTTCAAATGAGCTGTTGTAGGTAACAGCTCTTAGCTTGTCAATTAAGTTATGAATCCTTAACCTGTAAATAGCTTGTCAATAAAGCTAGGGATCCTTAACCTAACCTTGTCAAACCCTGTGTAACAGAGAGAGAGAGAGAGAGAGAGAGAGAGAGAGAGAGAGAGAGAGGGAAGAGCACGTGGAGGAGGAAGACATCTACAGCCGTCTCACCCTCCACTAACACAGTTCCAGCGGCAGAATCTGAGGACAAATCTGCAAAACACAGGAGGTGCAACAAATTCTAGTCCACCCTCCCAGGCACCTAGGCTGTGCTCTCGCTGTCACCGGAAGGGGCACACTGCCAACAACTGCCTGCGAGATACCAGGTGTAATTACTGCTACAAGAAAGGACATCAGGAGGACCAGTGTCGGAAGAAAAAGGAACTTGACAGACAGGGCCACCTGTTTAGAGACCTGTTCTCAGAACAAACCAGCAGGATCTCTGAATTGGTGAACACTCTCACACGTCACCCACTTAGCTACTCCTATCCCAGCCCAGCAGGTGGTATTGTGCCTTATACAAGACCACAGACCTACATCCCTGCAGCTGCCTCATACCCTACCTCTCTCAAGGCAGGCACCTTACATTCCCTACACACCCACCACCTCGAGCTGACCACTTCATCATGAGGAGCCAGTCTATCAGCATTCTGTCGGCCAACATTAGAGGTTTCATTACTAATGTTGGAGAGCTCACACATAGTTTTGTGAACACTCGACGTCCCGACATGATAGCTGTTGTTGAAACATTTTTGGATGACAGGACTCCAGAAAATTTTGCAAGAATTGCTGGCTACACCTCATGGATGAGAAGAAACAAGCAAGGGCAAGGAGGAGGTGTTGCTGTGTGCTTCTCTAAAAGTGTTCATGCCCAGCACATTGATGTTGCCACCCCTACACATCTTGAAATGATGTTCTTCAAGCTCTGTATAAACCATAGTACCTCTGTACTAGCATGTGCAATGTACAGACCTCAGTGGCAACATGCAGACCCCATCAACTTCCTAATGGAAAATATTGACTCCCTTCTGCTACAGCACAACTGTCAACATATTATAATTGTTGATGACCTCAACCAGCACCTTATACAGAGGGACTTTGGTGACCTTCTTGCAGTGTTTGACATGAGAAACTTTGTTGATTTCCCTACTCATATCTCTGGCTCCTCCCTTGACCCAGTAGTGAGTGATCTGGCAGAAGGCATAGTCACTTGTCAACCCCTCGGCTACGTTGGATCATCTGACCACAAGGCTGTTTTTACGACACTTAAGATCCCAACAGAACGAGGTGAGGAGTCCACACGCACAACCTGGCTATGGGAAAGAGGTAATTGGCCAGCCCTTTGCTCTGAGCTCGCCACCACCGATTGGAATGCTCTTCTCCAAGGGGATGTTGACAACCAAGTGAAAGCCTTCACTGGACACATCCTTAATCTACAACAAGTACACATTCCTCACCGGCAATATGTGACGAAGCCTACAGATCAGCCTTGGTTTGGCTTTCGTTGTAGAGAGGCTGCTACTGCTAAGTACAAAGCATGGCGAAGGTATAAGAGACATCCTACCACCTATAACAGGAACTTGCACACGCAAGCCTGTAGGCATATGGGTGACGTTCAAAAGTGGGCCATTGCTAAATGGGAGGTGGACACTAAAAGAAAGCTAGCATCAGGTAGGGTAGGCTCCAAAACCTGGTGGTCCCTGGTCAAGGACAGACAAGGCTATCTGCCTGATGAACTCATTCCACCTCTAAATCGACAGGATGGGAACACCTCTACTAGTAGTCAAGAGAAGGCGGACCTCTTTGCTGAACACTTTGCTACCAAAATGCAAGTTCCTAATCCAGCAAGGGACCCTCCTTGGCTAGCTGCAAGAACTGTGTCAAAACTGTCAGTGGTGACAATAAGGCAGGAGGAGGTGCATTTCCTTCTTAAATCGCTTGACCAAGAAAAGGCTGTGGGCCCAGACAAGTTGAGCCCAAGATTGTTGAGAAGATGTGCAGACCAGCTAGCAGCACCTCTAACTCGCATCTTTCAGCACTGCCTAGTACAGTGTAAATGGCCCTCTCTATGGAAAGAGGCAAATGTAGTCCCTGTTCACAAAAAGAAGAGCAGAGCAGAAATCAGCAACTACAGACCAGTGTCACTCCTGTCAATCACTGGTAAGATCCTTGAGACAATAATCTCAAGACAAATGACAGAGTTTTTTGACTACCACTCACTACTTTGTGACCGTCAATATAGCTTCAGGAAAGGTTACTCTGCTGCTGTTCTGTTGTTAAACCTCTCCACTAAGTGGAAACCAGTCACTGGATGAATCCAAAGTCAGCTGTGTGGTAGCACTGGACATTGCTGGCGCTTTCGACCGGTGTGGCACCAGGGCCTCTTAGCAAAACTTCAAGCACTGGGAATTGCAGGCTCTACGCTATGTCTCCTCAGTGATTACCTTTTATGTAGATCCCCTAAGTGTAGTTCTCAATGGAACGGAATCAGCAAGACATCCTATTGGGGGAAGTGTTCCACAAGGAAGCGTGCTGGGTCCATTGTATGGAATGTCTACTTCAATGACCTTCTTCATCTCATCCCAGAATCACATGCATATGCAGACGACTGTACACTGACATTTACTTATCCAAGAGAAGAAATGCCAGCTGCTCTAAGCTACATCAATCACCAGCTGAGAGCTATATCAGCTTGGGGGAAAAAGAATGGCAGTAACATTTGCACCTGAGAAAACGCAAATGATGATCGTCTCTAGGCACCATGATGGTAATGTTGGTGCAGTAGTAAGGATGAATGGGAGGGTGTTGGCACCTGGAGAAGAAGTTGATGTCTTTGGGGTGAAATTTGCCTCCAAACTAACCATGAAGAACCATGTTGTAAATCTTTCAACAAGGCCCGCCAGGAAGCTTACAGCAACTTCGCCATATCTCGCATCTGCTTGACAGTAGGGGTTGCAAGATCCTGTACGAGGCACAAGTACGCTCACACCTTGAGTATGCTCCACTTTCTTGGTTTGCCTGCGCCCCCCCTCTCACCTGCGACTCCTTGACAGAGTAGAGAACAGAGCAAGACGTCTCATCTCTCGCCTGGACCCATCCTGGATAGATCTGTCATTTCAGCAGAGCCTTCAACATAGGAAGGATGTGGGTGGCCTTACTGTTATGTACAAGGCCAATATTGTCAAAGTACCACACTTGGATCCACTTCGAGGACAGCGTGAAACAAGCTTTTATGCCACAAGACGGGCAGAAAGCAGCAACTTCACTCTGGCTGTACCCTTCTCCAGAACATCACTCCATCTGAGATCATACATACCCAGGATGACTCGAGTATGGAACACATTCGTACAGCATAATGATGTCAACGAGATAAAGTCCGTTGATCAAATGAAAATGCTGGCCCACAGATGGCTCCAACTTCATCCTGTTCCCTACTTGTATGTCTCATAACAATAAAAATGCTTTCAAATGAGCTGATGTAGGTAACAGCTCTTAGCTTGCCAATAAAGTTAGGAATCCTTAACGTGTAAATAGCTTGTCAATAAAGCTAGGGATCCTTAACCTTGTCAAACCCTGGTTAAAAAAAAAAAAAAAAAAAAAGAGAGAGAGAGAGAGAGTGCATTCAACTTTGACACCTAATTTACTATTGAAATTTAACATGTCCACTATGACTTACAATATACAGAAGACCGTAGCGTGGAATTTAGTGAAGACAGATGTGTTACAAATATATTATTATTATTATTAGGTAAAAGGAAGCATATACATCTAATGCGACATTTTACTGCGATAACGTTTCGCTCTATAGGCGCTTTGTCAAGCCTAACAGTTTGACAAAGCTCTCGGGGAGCGAAACGTTACCACATTAAAATGTTGCATTAGTTGCACACATATCCTCTTTTCTAACATGTTTTCTAACATATTACTGTTATTATTATTACGAAGCGCTAAACCAATTTGGGTCATTCAGCGTGAGGACTGGTAGAGGTTCGAGCCACTGTAAGCTTTGTCCTCACAGCATGGGTTTCATCCCTTCTTCCCAACTTGCTCACAAACGGAACCTTAACCCTAAGAATAATACCGGTTGTGGTTTGACGACGCATCTGGCAATACATAATCCTTTATTATTATTTTTATTCGCCAGTACTCTCCCGGCCCGGGTCTTTTCCAAGAAATGGTGACCCGGCCTTGGCTCCCTATCTGGGGAGTATCTCGAGACCTAAGTCTCCCATGGGAGGAGGTACATGTACCCCCTCATCTTTGGGACCAACTGTCCCCAGGCCTAGCCACATTCCCCGCCCTCACGGGGCTCGCAGAGAGAAGCTAGGCCTCTCGGGTTTGCCATCTACCCCGCCCCAAAGGGGCTCGTGGGGATGGCAGTCTTGTGAGCTGCAGGTGGTAGCAAGCTCAGGCCTCAAAATTTACTGATGTAGAGAGTACATCAGTATATAGAGGGTGAAGAGTCAGGTGGAGAATGTTGGGCAGGTTGGATGTGTGAGATGCTGAAACTTGTTATTGATTAAGCATTTCCTTAAAGATAGGACAGACATAAATAGACTATTTAAAAATGTGGGTTTGCAGCTTGGGGCATAACAGGAAATATATATCTCGGAAAAGCATTGGAGATGATCAGGTTCTACGAGGCATAAAATTTTTGAGACCGGTCATACAATATTAAGAGACAAGTTCAAGAGCCAAGACTAACCCCCGTAAAATAAATAATTCAATGTAAACATACACACAAGCACAAACAGAGACACACACATGCAAAGAAGACTGCAGACGGAGTATACCTTAGGGGATCAAAGGCTGCAAGAATCACTCAAGGAAAAGAATCTTGGTGTGAGCATCATACCGAGCACATCTGAGGCGCAAATCAACGAAATAACCTATGCATTATATGGGCGCCTGGCAAACATTCGTTTCGACACCTAAGTAAGGAGTCATTAAAGACACTGTACACAATATACGTCAAACCCTTAGTGGAGTACGCAGCACCAGTATGGAACCCACACTTGTTCAAACACATCATGAAATTGGAGAAAGTTTAAAGGTTTACAACAAGAATAGTACCGGAGCTAAGGAATATGTTCTACCAGGACAGGTTAAGGGAACTCAATCTGACGACACTGGAGGACAGGAGGAATAGGAGGGACGTAATAACGACGTATAAAGTACTGAGAGGAACTGATAAGGTGGACAAGGCCACAATGTTTCAGAGATGGGACACAGGAACAAAGTGAAACAACTGGAACGTGAAAACTCAAATGAGCCACAGGGATGTTAGGAAGTATTTCGTCAGTAATAGAGTTGTTAGTAAGTGGAGCAATCTGGAGAGTGCTGTAATGGAGACAGGATCCATACATAACTTTAAGAAGAGGTACGATAAAGCTCATGGAGCAGGGGCAGAGTGGACCTAATAGTGACCAGCGAAGAGGCGGGGCCAAGAGCTGTCACTCGACCCTTGCAATCACAAATAGGTTAGTGCACATGCGCACGCACACACACACACACACACACACACACACACACACACACACACACACACACACACACACACACACACACACACGCGCGCGCGCAACAAGAAGTATTCACTGTGGAGACAGGAAGGACCCTGGGAAGACAGGACAGAGGGGGACACCAACAGGGAATACACCAACAAGTGCTGGATGACATACACACAACTTAGGAGGAGGTGAAGAAGCTGCTAAGTGACCTGGATACCTCAAACGCAATGGGACCGGACACCATCTCCCCGTGGGTCCTTAAAGAGGGAGCAGAAATGCTGTGTGTCCCATTAACCACAATCTTCAACACGTCCCTTGAAACTGGGGAACTACCTGAGGTATGGAAGACGGCAAATGTAAATTCCATTTATAAAAAAGGAGACAGAAAAGAGGCACTAAACTACAGACCAGTGTCACTGACGTGTATAGTATGCAAAGTCATGGAGAAGATTATCAGGAGAAGAGTGGTGGAGCACCTGGAACGGAACAGAAGTATAAATGAGAACAAGCACGGTTTCATGGAAGGCAAATCCTGTGTCACAAACATTCTGGAGCTTTATGATAAAGTAGCAGAAGTAAGAGACGAGAGAGAGGGGTGGGTTAATTGTATCTTCTTGGTCTGCAAGGAGGCCTTCGACAGAGTTCCTCAAAGAGATTAGCGCAGAAACTAGAGGATCAGGCGTGTATAATGGGATGGGCACTTCAATAGATCAGAGAATACCTGACAGGGAGGCAACAACGAGTCATGGTACGTGATGAGGTATCACAGTGGGCACCTGCGACGAGCGGGATCCCACAGGGGTCGGTCCTACGACCAGTGCTATTTTTGGTATATGTGAATGACATGATGGAAGGGATAGACTCAGAGGTGTCCCTGTTCGCAGATGATGTGAGGTTAATGAGGAGAATTAAATCAGATGAGGATCAAGCAAGCCTTCAAAGAGACCTGGACAGGCTGGACACTTGGTCCAGCAACTGGCTTCTCGAATTCAACCCTGCCAAATGCAAAGTCATGAAGGTAGGAGAAGGGCAAAGAAGACTGCAGACAGAGTATAGGCTAGGTGGCCAATGACTGCAAACCTCGCTCAAGGAAAAAGATCTTGGCGTGAGTATAACACCGAGCATGTCTCCGGAAGCACACATCAACCAGATAACTGCTGCAGCATATTGGCGGCTGACAAACCTGAGATTAGCATTCCGATACCTAAGTAATGAATCTTTCAAGACAATGTACACCGTATACGTGAAGCCCATACTGGAGTATGCAGCAGCAGTTTGGAACCCGCACCGGGTCGAGCACGTTAAGAAATTAGAGAAAGTGAAAAGGTTTGGAAAAAGGTCAGTTCCGGAGCTAAGGGTAATGTCTTACGAAGAAAGGTTGAGGGAAATCGACCTGACGACACTGAAGGACAGAAGGGATAGGAGAGACATGATAACGACATACAAAATACTGCGTAGAATAGACAAGATGGACAGAGACAAGATGTTCCAGAGAGGGGACGCAGAAACAAGGGGTCACTCTTGGAAGTTGAAGACTCAGATGAGCCACAGGGATGTTAGGAAGCATTTCTTCAGTCATAGAGTTGTCAGGAAGTAGAATAATCTGGCAAGTGATGCAGTGGAGGCAGGAACCATTCATAGTTTTAAGACGAGGTATGATGAAGCTCATGGAGCAGGAAGAGAGGACCTAGTAGCGACCAGTGAAGAGGCGGGACCAGGAGCTGAGTATCGACCCCTGCAACCACAAATAGGTGAGTACACACACACACATACACACACACACACACACACACACACACACACACACACACACACAGTGTGATGCATCCCTTCTTGCAGATGATGTCAAACTGACAAGGAAACTAAAAACAGTAAAGGACACAGAAAGGCTATAAATGTACCAGGTCAGACTGTAGGATTCGACCCTTACAAGATTACAACAGCTTAGAAAGGGAAAAAAGGACCAGAAACGGGCTAAAAGTTCGTGAGATAAAGGCCGTAAACCTTACTCAAGTAAAAGGACCTCGGAGTGAGCTTAATATCGAAAATATCGCCTGAGGCCCATATCAGCAGAATAAAGTCTGCAGCAAATGCGTATTCGGCAAATCCAAGAATAGCCTTCAGGAATATCATCACACTATTATATGCGATATGTGCCAGACCCATCTTGGAATATGTAGCACAGGTATAGAACTAACACCTGATCTGTAATGCCAGAAGACTGGAGAAAGTGTAGAAGCTGGCAACGAGACTAATCCCACTGGAAATGGAAAGGAGCTATGAGAGACAAATGGAACTAAATGTGGTGACATTAGAGGACAGAAAGATCAGGGGAGATATGATAAAGACGGGCAAGATACTAAAAGGAATTGACAGGGTAGACAGGAAAAAACTGTTCGAGAGGCGAGAAACAGCTATTCTAGGAAACAACTGTTTCTTCATCCTGAGAGTGGTCTGGAAGTGGAATGACCTGGACAACGAAGTGGTAGAGGTAGAACTATACACAGCCTTACTTGGGGCCGCCGCCACACAGGGGCTGCTGTGGAGGAAATTTCTCCAGTCGGGTGCGGGACTAAAGTCATAGTGGATTACAGTGACGCTGCTGCTCAAAGGCCTGTATCAACCCTGTGAACATTAACTGTGATTAAGCTAGGAGAAAGTTAGTGCAGTATTTACTGTTTTAATATTCAGGGCCAAGAACTGAGACTTGACCTCTGCAATCACTAATAAACAAGTTATGAGTAAAGGCTTAAAACAACTAACTAGGAACGTCCTCGTTGCGCTGCTATATGGAACAAAAGAGACGATAAACACCTAACAGACCATAAAATGATTCGAATCAGCATACACCATTTCTCATTACTCTTGACGGGAGGAATAACATATAGTGCCGAAATTATGTAAGAAAGCTCTCGTTACCCAGTGGTATAATAAGGTAATGTGATACAAAAGTATGAAATAAGTGCTTCAGCTATTGTAAATCCAGGAAAAGAATATGTAGTAGAATAAATACTGAATACCTAAGCATAATTTTAATCCGGTATCTAAAAGTGATAATATAGTTGATCATAATAATAATGATAATGCAATATAGGTTCTTACAGTTGCCAAATAGAGGAAACCATATAATTTAATCCTGACATTCAAGAACGAGAACAGACAGGAAACAATGAACAACATGGTAATATCTTGGACAAGAATACTGTGAAAGATGTTGGAGAAGAAAATCAAAGAAGCTTGGTAGAGTATCCGGAGAAAAGGGTAATATTCTTACTAGACAAAACGCACTCATTCAAAACTAGTAAAGCCTCTCACAAGCCTCTTCTAGAATTTAGTGATTGAACAGCAGAAGCGAAGCAGAAAGCAGAGATAAGGGTGAACGACCTAGCCTTAAGCACCAAAAAGAAATCAGACATTGCACTGCACCAGAGGCTGGATAAAATAAACTGAAGGAGCAAACAGGGATAGCAGGAAATACCCTAATATAAATAAACATCCTAAGAGTCGGGAAGAAAATATTAGGACAGTCAACATCTGAAATATCTACTGAGTCTAGTATATACTCAATAATAACCACATGGAAACAGAAACACAGGGAGTTGACTGATCTGTATATTTCGACCCCCTTCTGGGATCCTCTTTAACAAATACACAAGTGAACAGGTACTGGTAGGTTCTCCAGGACGGGTTCTGGCACGGGTCTTCTCCGTGCGTTGACCCGGCAACAAAAGCGAAAAGAGAACATGAATTTATAGGAGAAGTTGCATCTCTCACCGTGCGGGGGAATAGGAAGTGTCAGGTGAGCGAGTGGGGGAACAGGTCAAGGAGGGAGTGAGTGAGAAGACAGATCCTGAAAATGGAAAGTACTGTGCATTTCTGTTTGCAGATAATGTGAAGAAAATGAAGTGATTAACAAAAAAATGGAGACGACAGGGAAAATACTATAATAAAACTTGGCAAAACGAGGAGGTGGTCACAAAAGTGGGTACTGGAATTTAACTTCAGTAAGGCTATGAAAATTCAGAAACTACAGACTGGTGGAAAAGAACTGTAAACATTACCCAAAGAAATGGACATTGAGGTTAGTATAATAATGAACAGCCGAAGGCGTGACCGGAAAAAAATATAATTAGCTTTCAGGAATCTCAACAAAGAGCCATTCTTTTATCTATGGACTACGTAAGCAAGGCCACACCCAGAGTCTGCAGTCGTAGTATGGAACTCACCTGATAAAGCATGACCAGAAATTAGATAGGGCAGCGATCTGCATAGAGACGGGTAATGGAACTAAGAGGAAATTTCTATGAGGAGAGACTAAGTGATCCGAACCTGATGACATTAGAGAACAGAATGGCCACAGACAGTGTAATTAGGTGATAAATTACAGCAAAATGACTTAGATTAAAACTGGCGGGGCAAAGAGGCTGCAGGAGCGTCTGGAAGAACTTTTTAAGCACCACGGTAGTCAAAACGTAACAATATGCATGAAGAAGTGGCGGAGTCGACTATGTACCAAGCGCTGAGAATAAATAGACTAAGGCCCTCGAGGTTAGTTGTGAGTGAACGACCAGTTAAGATAATGAAACAAAAGATGTAACAACTAAAACTATACAAATAATAAAGTACACATAATAACCATCTTGGAATTAAAGATGATACATCTTGTTACACAAATCTGTAGAAGTTCTATTACAAAGTAGCAGAGGTGAAGCAGCAATGACATGGATGTTTGAACTCCACATACTTGGACTGCAACAAGGCATTTGATACTGTTTAATAACAAAAGCCTGCCGAGAAAACAGGAATAACGGAAAATACGATACGGCGGGTCAATGAACACCTTATGGAAAGGAAACAAAGAATAATTGTTAGAATAGAAAGTTGTAGAAAATATTGGTTTTAAGACCAGTTGTGTCTCTGGTATAGGAGAATTATATACCAAAATAGGTAGACAAATGTATACCTGTTAGTTGTTGATGTCAAATTAATGAGAGCAAACACCGATGAGAACAAAAACTGAGGAGAACAAAAAGAGATGAGGACAAGAAAAGATGAGAACAAAAACCGATGAGAGCAAAAGTCGATGAGAACAAAAACTGATCAGAGAAAAAACAGATGAGAATCAAAATTGATGAGAATAAAAAGCCATGGGAACAAAAACCGTTGAGAACAAAAAGCGATGAGAACAAAAAGCGATGGGAACAAAATGCGATGGGAAAATGCGATGAGAACAAAAAGCGATGGGAACAAAAAGCGATGGGAACAAAAAGCGATGGGAACAAAAAACGATGAGAACAGAAACTGATGAGAACAAGGAAAAGCCTCAAAGGGACATGGACCAACTGCAATTTAACCATACAAATCACTTTTGGGGTGAGCACAGTGCCGAACATATCTCCGGTCTTTAAATATGCAGTACTAGCATTGTAGCCTCTAGTTTGATAAAGCGTATTTTGAAACTGGAGAAAGTGAACATGTATACCAGTTGCAGAAATTGAAATAAAAACGCGTTTTTTTTTACATTTTAGTAAACAAAATACAATTTAAAGCTAAGAAACTTTGTAAACAATGCATATAGTAAACCATTTAATAATTTTCGAGAGAGAGAGAGAGAGAGAGAGAGAGAGAGAGAGAGAGAGGGTGGGGACAAGTCGTTATCGTCAAATTACCGCCCAATAAGCCTGACCTCAATTGTAGGCAAATTACTAGAGTCAATTATAGCTGAGATTATAAGAAGCCATCTCGATAAGCATAGCTTGATTAATGATATTCAGCATGGATTCACAAGAGGCCGGTCTTGTCTAACTAATTTATTAACTTTCTTCAGTGAAACTTTTGAGGCTGTTGACCACGATGAAGAATTTGATATTATTTAGAAATATAAACACATATGCAGTATAATGTGATCCTTTATTGACTACGTTTCTCCCACACAGTGGGCTTTTTCAAGTCACAAACAGATCTGATCTGTTTGTGACTTGAAAAAGCCCACTGTGTGGGCGAAACGTAGTCAATAAAGGATCACATTATACTGCATATGTGTTTATATTTCCATTGTGTCGGTATTTTACACCATTTATTTCCATGATATTATTTACTTAGATTTTAGTAAGGCTTTTCATAGAGTTCCGCACCAAAGACTGTTAAAGAAAGTGGCAGCTCATGGCATTGGGGGAAAAGTGCTCTCGTGGATCGAGTCATGGCTCACAGACAGGAAGCAGAGAGTGTCCATAAATGGGGTTAAATCCGAGTGGGGATCTGTAACAAGTGGTGTTCCACAGGGATCAGTCTTGGGCCCGTTGTTGTTTATAATATATATCAATGATCTTGATGAGGGAATTACTAGTGATATGAGCAAATTCGCCGATGACACAAAGATAGGTAGGATAATTGATTCAAACGTAGATGTTATGGAACTTCAGGAAGATTTAAACAAACTCTATTCTTGGTCAGAAAAGTGGCAGATGCAGTTCAGTGTAGATAAATGCAAGGTTCTGAAGCTCGGGAGTGTCCATAACCCTGGCACTTATAAGTTAAATAATGTAGAACTTAGCCATACAGATTGCGAAAAGGACTTGGGGGTTATGGTGAGCAGCAACCTTAAACCAAGACAGCAATGCCTAAGCGTACGTAATAAGGCAAATAGATTACTGGGATTTATATCAAGAAGTGTAAGCAACAGAAGTCCAGAGGTCATACTGCAGCTTTATACATCATTAGTAAGGTCTCACCTAGATTATGCAGCTCAGTTCTGGTCTCCATATTACAGAATGGACATAAATTCGTTAGAAAACATTCAGCGTAGGATGACTAAATTAATACATAGCATTAGAAATCTCTCTTATGAAGAAAGATTGAAGACTCTTAAATTACATTCACTTGTTAGACGAAGAATGAGGGGAGACATGATCGAAGTGTATAAGTGGAAGATAGGTATTAATAAAGGGGATATTAATAAGTAAAGTAAAAGGACACAAGTGCAACTAATGTGACATATGTTGTGGCAACGTTTCGCTCTCCAGGAGCTTTATCAAGCCATGGCTTGATGAAGCTCCTGGAGAGCGAAACGTTGCCACAATATATGTCACATTATGAAAGTTAAGACACATGTGCAACAT